TGTTTTTGATTTAATGTGAGTCAACTTGTTTGGTTCCATTCCACCTGAAAAAACAACAACATAGAAGTAAACTTATTTCAGAGGTTTTCATGGTCTCCATGTTTTATCATAAACAAAAGGATTCATGACAAATGCCTGCTCCAGAGCATCAAATCTCCTGTTTTAGTTTAGTATTGGGATCTTTTAATGATGCAACAATAAGAAGCTCACATGAAACCAAGAGTTATAGACCAGTTTAATACTAATAGAATGTTTCCATTGACTTATTAATATTCATTGCTGACTTACATAGTTTTAGCTTCTGACAGCAGAGCAGAATAAAACACCTGAATGTGGACTTTATGTTCATATTTATGTGCAGCCTATTTGAAGTTTGCTGCTTGTCACAAGCAGAGGTCCTTTTATGTTTTAGTTGTTTCTTGTGTGACTCAAAGGTTGAAGTACACATTTAGAGTGTTCTGCTGAAGCCTGTTGGAGCAGAAAACACCTAAACCTGCAGGAGTGGCCCACCAGGAGCAGGTTTTGACACAACTACCATGCAGGAACCAACAGGTCTCACAGTAAAGTACCTCTGGGTAGTCTGGGTAGCCGGCTCTGGGTGTCACACACACTGGTAGAGGTCATGATGGGTTCAGACGAGGGTTGAAGGGGCTGGAGGAAGGCCACAGTGGGGAAAGGCACAGATGGGATGTGGGTCATGGAAGAGTCAGACAGGGAGGTCGGCACCCCAGCGTGGCCGCTGTCCTTAAAGCTGGAGGGTATTCTCCATCGAGGTAATGGGGAAGGAGACACCTCCTCGCTGGAGGAACCAGGAATGCTGGGGGGGCTGAGGGACTGTTCTGGGATGGAGGAGGATTTGGGGAGGAGTTGCAGGATGGAGGAGAAGAAGGAGCAGGATTCTGGGAGAGAGATGGTCCCAATTCCGCTGTCCAACGTTCGCATCTTGCAGCCTGCGGCACAAGGAGAACAGCTGAAGTGGCTCGGAGAAGGAAAGACACAAGAGGGAACCTGGGCTGGCACAGGGACTAAAACATTTTCATCAGCTGCTCTTTTATTAATCACTATTATACACGGCAATAAAGTTAATATCTTAAGACAATTACATTTTAGTTTTATGCTGTTATGCTTTTGCTGAAACAGAAAGAGACACCACTGTGTAATTAGAGCGGATTTTAATAATAATAAATCCCATTTCATACAGTATTATTACAGGATTTATCTCAGTTTTATTTCTGCTCATTTATTCTAGTTTTTACTTTTTCATACTTGAGTTTATTCATTTATTTGGACACTTTTAGTGTTTTTCTCTTAGAATCAGGCGGTTTCAGAAACCGGTTCTTGAATGAGCTAATTACACCATGGTGCTCCGTTAGCGGACGACCTGACAAATGCATACCAACACCCCCGAACCTCCAACATACATTACAAATGTTTGATGAGTGTTAACATGCACTGGCCACAGAGAAGTTATGAGATGATCACCATGGTTTATTGTATGACATGAAATCATAAATATTTCTAGGTTTCATCCTGCTGCCAATCATCAGCTAACAGCTCATCAAGAGTCACAGATTTGGAGCTAAAATCTTGTTCAAGTCTGGTTCTTTGTTGTCTGTACATGCCAAAACAATACTGGCTCATCCCTTGAGTTAGGAAGTAAAACATCTTTATATGGCACCTTTTACTAGTGAAAAGCTTGTTAATGTGTTTTCAGCTGCTTCCTACTAATTTTCTCCTTCTTATTAAAACAGATAAAAACCCTGTAACCATAAACTCAACCAATAAAAATAATAATTTAGGAGCTTTTTATGTCTAAAAGACTGTAAAGTCACAGGTAAAGAAGAAATCCTCAGCATGCAGAGGTAAAAGAATTCAAACTTAAACAGAAAGGCAGCAAAAGTCCAAAGAAAAACCTCTGGATCAGTTCCTTACATCAGTTAACTCTTTCAGGTCCACACTAAGAAGAAAAAATGATGAAAGAAATACAAACACTTTCACATTTTTGGTTAATTCAAGGGGACTTGAGTTAAAGTAACACTAAACAGTCTTTTAAACTTTAATCTAGAGCTGTAACATTGATCTCAGTGATTGTCGACCAGTTTCATATTTGGCACCACTCTGCAGGCCTCTGCTGAATAAAAACCACACTTAACAGTTTTGTGGAGCGGTCAATATAAAGGAGAACAAGAAAAAGAAGAAGTTTGCTTTTCTATTGACATCATGGCAGAGCTTCAAAGTAAAAGTAAGAGAGTAATGTCTTTAGAGGTGAAGCAAAGAGCTAGAACCAGTGTTTCATTTGTAAATGAAACATTGCCCGGAACGCAAATACTGACGTCAAACCAAAGTTCACTAAAGGCAAAACAGATGCCGGCGTCCTGGCGTCCTGTTGATTCGCTGGAGTTGTTGACAGTTAAAAACAACAATGAGAGTTTTTGCATCTTTACTGTTCCCCTGCTTCAGCCCTCCCCCTGCGCAGCGGCAGCAAACTCACTGATGCACCTGCAGCCTCTCACAGTTCCTGCTGATCTAAACACTGAAAGAATAATTTCATTTTCTGTTCCTCACTTCTGATTACCTTCAATGGCGTCTGCTTGTTTCAACCACCAGGTACAAAAACGAACTTGTTTTTTATTTGACTATTTTCTGTCCTGTCTCTATTATCTTCCTGCATCTCCTCTCAGTCCTAAAGAAAAACTGCTACCTGGCTTCATATTTTTCACCTCATGAGTTACTTTTGTACTGCAGTTTAAAAAGATCTACTGACTGCAAAAATAGCGGAGTGTGCATGTGGTATCGTGAGGAATTAGTTGTTCATATAAATATCTGAGTACGCATAATAGTTCTTATTCACAGATGCCTACATATCAGGTTCCTGTTATTCATCTCCAAGAAATAGAAGAGGTGTTGTTACAATGGTAAGGCCAGGAGAGGCAGTAGAGGCTCTGTGTTACATGATGTTGGAAGAACAGTAGAAGAAGAGTGTGTCCGGGAGTAGTAAGTAACAAATGGATGCTGATGTTCTGTACATGTTCTGAATAGCCGGTTCAGTAAACAAGTTTCAACGACACTCCGGAGTAAGGCTCAGTTATTTTATTTTTTGAAGATGCAACATCTTTTTGGCGACGAGGACGCTTAGGGGGAAGGAGTTTGGTTCGACCGGTCTGAAGAAAAAAAAAGTGACGGAGCCCGCTACAGGTTTGGGCTAGCTTTTCAAAGAATGCAAAAGTTTGTCGGCTGGTAATAGAAGCCAGTAACCTCAAAGCAGAAATGGCTACAATTGGTACGCTAGTAGCGTTCGACCCAAAGAGTCAGACTTGGGATGAGTATACGGAAATACTCGAGCAGTTTTTCGCAGCTAACGAGATCGACGATGGAGAAAAACAAAGAGCGATCTTAATAAGTGTCGTCGGAGCAGCGACGTACAGCTTGATGCGAAACCTTCTCAGCCCAGCCAAACCCAAAGACAAGACCTTCCAAGAGCTGGTACTGCTGATGAAAAATCACTTTGACCCGAAGCCCAGTGAAATTGTGCAAAGGTACAAATTTGACTCTCGCTCCCGCAAGCCGGATGAAACGGTCATGGAATACGTAGTGGAGCTGCGTCGCCTGGCGCAGGATTGTAACTATGGCAACACGTTACAACAGATGTTGAGAGACAGGATCGTGTGCGGAATTAAAGATGACCGAATTCAGAGACGTCTCTTGTCAGAAGTAGATCTTACGTTTGACAAGGCCCTGTCAATTGCAGTAGCCATTGAGACTGCAAATAAAAATGCACAGGATCTGCAAACCTCAGGGGCGACAGCAAAATGTTTTAACCTCAGCAAAGGACAACAGGAGAGTCGTACCTTTACAGGAGAACGCAAGGAGTGTTATCGTTGCACAGGAACTAAGCACACAGCGGCAGACTGTAAGTACAAACAAGAAAAATGCCATGCTTGTGGTAAAGTGGGACACATAGCCAGAGCTTGTAGAAGCAAGACTAAACTGAACCAGAAAAAGTATGCATCGACATATGTAAAGAAAGACAGAAAGCAGAGTTCACACTACCGTACTCACAAAGTGGGCGAGGAAAAAGATAACGGCCAAACTGACAGCTCTGAGGATGAGTCGTTCACGATGAACTGTGTTAAGTGCAGTCAAGAGCACAAAAGAAAAGTGTACAAGTTAGGGCGTGGCAGTGTGGTACACTTGAGGAAAGTAGACCCCTACACTGTAGATATGCAAATTGATGGAAAAAGGGTGAACTTTGAACTAGACACCGGGTGTTGCCTAACCGTCATGAACGAAGCAACATTCAGAGAAACGGGAAAAAACACTAAGCCCCTTAGCCTGCAGCCCATCAAAATCAAACTGGAAACTTATACAGGGGATCCTGTTAAGGTAATTGGTGCAACACGAGTCAGTGTAAATTACAAGCAGCAGAAAAAACATTTGCCTCTGGTGGTGGTCGAAGGCGACGGCCCCAACTTGCTAGGTCGCGCTTGGCTTGAGGAAATTAAATTGGACTGGAATGAAGTAAAAAACAGTCGTAACCACAGAAAGCTGCACCGAGTCCAAACAACGGAAAAAACACTTCAGCAGGTGTTAAATGAACATGAGGCTGTATTCAAAGAGGAGCTGGGCACCCTGAAAGGCATGAAAGCTGTGATTCATGTGAAAGGTGATGCCACTCCACGTTTTTTCCGTCCACGTTCTGTTCCCTATGCTATGCGAGCAAAAGTCAACGAGGAAATAGATCGACTTTTGAAAGAAGGCATCATCTTGCCAGTTAAATATGCTGAATGGGCGGCACCAGTAGTGCCAATTCTGAAGCCCACGGGGAAAATAAGACTGTGTGGAGATTACAAGCTTACTGTAAATACAGTGGCTTCCCTGGAGCAGTATCCCCTACCCAGAATGGAGGACTTGTTTGCCACACTGTCCGGGGGTAAGCAGTTCTCAAAATTAGACATGAGCCACGCTTACCAGCAAATCCTCTTGGATGACGAATCAAAAAAGTACGTGACAGTAAACACACCTAGGGGGCAGTTCACGTATAACAGATTGCCTTTTGGAGTGGCCTCTGCTCCAGCAATATTCCAGAGGACCATGGAAAGTCTCTTGAAGGGGATACCTCAGGTAGCTGTGTATTTAGATGACATCTTAGTGACTGGAGTGGATGAGAAAAGCCATCTAAAAAACCTGGATGAGGTGTTGACCCGGTTGGAGGAGGCTGGGTTGAGGTTAAAGAGGTGCAAGTGTGTTTTCATGCAAGAGGAAGTGGAGTACTTGGGGCACATAGTGGATGCTCAGGGGCTCCACCCAGTGGAAAAGAAAGTTAAAGCCATCAGGGATGCACCTACCCCCACAAATGTCACTGAACTGAAAGCATACTTAGGGTTGCTAAATTACTACAACAAGTTCCTTCCAAACCTGGCAACCCTAATGGCACCCTTACATGAACTTTTGAGACACGAGGTACGGTGGACATGGCAAAAGAGACAAGAGGAAGCCTTTCAGAAATCCAAGAACCTGTTGAACTCAGCAGAGGTGTTAATTCATTATTCTGCTGACCGGGAGTTGGTTCTCTCCTGTGATGCATCCCCATACGGCGTAGGTGCCGTATTGTCACATAAGATGGAGGATGGAAGTGAGAGACCCTTGGGGTTCATGTCACGCACACTCTCTCCTGCTGAAAGGAAGTATTCTCAGCTGGACAAAGAAGGCTTAGCGGTGATATTTGGCATCAAGAAATTTCACAAATACTTGTATGGCCGAGTTTTCACGATTTACACACATCATAAGCCTCTAATCTCACTGTTCAATGAAAAGAAGCCTATACCTCAGATGGGCTCACCAAGAGTACAACAATGGGCTGTGACACTGAGTGCTTACGAGTACAACATCAAGTACAAGCCAGGTAAACACCATGAAAACGTGGATGCGCTCAGCCGGTTGCCAGTACCAG